TTAGCAAGCTTACTAAGAGTTCTCAAATAGAGAAGAGAGTTTGCAATGTGAAATCAAAAGTGAATGTCCTGGAAACCGCTTCACATCTGATCGAAAATGGATAAAAATTTGAAACAATAAGCTACGGGTGCCTGTCCTTTCACAGGAATTGCTCAATAGTTGTGTTTGCATGGAGCACCAGTGGCATCTAGTGGTTCTATCTAGAAGATCACCATGAACGGATATGAACACAGAAATACACGGTGTGGACTGAGACAGTGTTCACCTCACTGACCTGCTGATGGTCATGGCTGCAAACCTGCTCTAACCTCTACCAGCAATATTGTAGCACTTTCACAGAAGATGTTATCATGTCTTGCAAACTGCAGTAGTGAAATCCCCCCCAATTCTGTTCATCACACTGTCCTGGAGCTTCAGCAGCAGTGTGGGACAACTTGTGTCTCACACATGCCAGAAATGTCTCTTGGGCGTGAGTGAACACTTTCTAGTCTGTATGAAAACCAGTGACTCAGTGCTGGCTAGTGGAGATAGAGAACGTGTCAAGCAATAGCAAGTCATCTGGCACTCTTCCAAGCAGGCAATAGTCCTTCTGCTCCCTCTGGAGAAACCTCTTCTCCAAAAGTACTGGGCTCAGACAGTGAGCAGTATTGTTGCAGTTGGGTGAAAAGTTTAGTAGTCCAGGGGAAACAGTATAAAAATTATCATATATAGTAATCAGGAGTTCAAAAGGGCATGATGTATGTCTAAGGTAACTGACTGGTAGTGTGAGAACAAGTTTACAATGATCAGGTTTACAGCTGTATTTTGATGCAGATAAAACAGAGCAATAGACCCACATATATTTTTAAACAGAAAACCAAAACAACAATAACATCAAAACCAAAAAAACAACCCCCCCAAAAAACCAGTTTAACGAAAAGATTTCATTAGGAGAGTAAGGGAAGCTGCAATTATAAGCCCCAGTTGTGAAAAAAATTGCTCAATTTCTGACACAACTTTCTTTGCCTGGAACAAGTTCACACCTTGTAAGGCTCCGCTCAGCTCTCCTCTCCCTGAGCACCTATGACTGGTTGCTGCCAAGCTCTAAATCTCTGGCCTTTCAAAATCTTAACACTGGACTTGTATGCCTGTGCTAGGTGGTTGACAGAGACCTTAACTACTTTTTCTAAGAATAAAGTTTCTTCCTTCTTGCTGGCCAAACCCCTTCCTTCCACCAGTGTCCTTGTGGTATGTCTGTACTGACTGGCACTTGCCCTTCACTCTGGGTCAATGTTTGTAACCATGCGTCATTTGGAGATGCCCCTAGAGCTGTTAGGAAGGGAAAGCAAGGCGGAAGGGCCATCACAGGCAGAGAGTGCAAGAGCAGAGCAACACCATTGTGTGTGTCTGAACAGGGCTAAAAAAACAGGAAGTACTGCCTTTGAATCCTTCAGCAGTGCTTGGGCTGTGTGAAGCATTGGATCTGGGTTTTCAGGCGCCCTCTGAGAGCCTGAGAGGCTTTCCGACCTGTTCCTACATCCTGCCCCTTCGGAGGGTCCCTCCAGCCCAGTCCCACAGTATCTCCCCAGCAAGAGAAGACCAGTCAACCTGGAAGAGAGGAATAACTGTGAGGCTGGAAGTGCAAGCAGCACCCACAGAGGCAAATGGGCACAACAGCAGGAACCACAACAGTTGCTGCTTCAGGCTCACGTTTTCTGGTGTTTATTATTCTTTTCATTCTTGGCCATATCTCCATTATTATTATTCTTTTCATGTGAAGGAGGAAATTTTGCTGCTGAACCTCTGTGGTCCCTGCTGTGCATGCAGCTGCCCAGATCAGCATGCTGCTAGTTTGCTGTGGATAAGCTGCTGGCCCGGCCATCCACCTCATCTCTGTGTGATGTGCTCAACTCAGGCCAAAACGGATGACTGCCCCAAGAGAAGGCAGTCTCTGGATGTACTGTACTACAGAACTACAGGACTCCTTTCTTAGGCATTTCCAACCATTACTGGTAAGAGAAAAGACACTGGGCTAAAACAAGCAGCAGAGCTATCTTTATCTTCCTGAAAACTCTCACCAAAAACACAGGCAATGAATGCAAGAAAGGTTTGGGAGTTCATAAAGGGCATAAGCAAGAGGAATAGTTGCAAAACTATTGAGTGCTGTGATGCAGAAAGCACCTTTCTTGATCCAGTATTCAAAAAATGAGGCACTGCTCAAAGATTTTCCCCATGTTACAATTATAAAAACATCAGACAATCAACAAATTATAATGAAACACCATACACACCCTTGAGAGAAGAAACAATGTACCATGTAGCAGCCCTTTCTACCAGACATCAGGGTTGCTGCTGAGACACCAGACACAGAGAATTACATCTGAGCGCTACTGGGCTTCAGCGGTGCACATATAGACCAGATCCCCTGCAAACTGGTGTAAGCCATGCTCTGAGCACGCACAGGCTTGCAGAACCTTTGGGCTGAGCGAGCAAGCCAGCTCTGCACTGCGGAGCTGCAGTAGCTCACTGAGCTTTGCCTGGGGTTGCACAGCCACACCCATCCAGCAGTGGCCCGGCACACCTGACGGTCAACAACACTTACTAGTCTAGTTTTGGGGCAGTGCCATCACAACCACACCCTCCCCAGAAAGCTGGCTCAGGCCAAGAGATGTCAGATGTGCCAGCAATGACTGCACATTTTACCCCAGCTGGTATTTGAGCATTCGCTGCCTTTTCGATGGCTCACTGTGTCAAGCAAGCCACAGCAAACCTCATCAGAGAGCTGTCCACTGGCATCTCCCTCCTGCCAGGGCAGGCTGGGAGCACCGCTGGACTACCAAGTTGGTGGACATCATTGCAGGGTGTGGCACCTTGCTGTCATCAGGCAAGTCCGTGATCACTTTGAACACAGGAAGGATGAGCAGGGAGCAGCACATCATGGGTCTGATCGTTTGATATGTTCTTTACAAATAAACAACCTAAAAAGCAGCACAGGCACTAAGTTTGCTTTCCCTCAAAACTCCTTGTACTTTTTGCCTGGATAGGTTGCTCCTTCTCTCCTCCCAACCTATCCATCCACATACATCATCTTCCATGCCACCACCACACCCGTCCACTTACTTGTGGTAAGCCAGTGTGGTTTCATAAGGTGTTATAAGAAGACTTGGAAACATTTGTGGTTCTTTTTAAATCTGTGGTGAGCCAGTAAATGCTATATGCTGCTTGTAGGATGAAGCACAGTTGAAGCAGCATCCTGCAGGCTGGGGGAGGCTGGGTCTGGGCATGGTCTGACACTGCAAACCACTTCTATGTCCTAAGTCATGTTAAATATTTTGTATCAGCCAGTCAGCTTGTGCAAGCCCTGAAGGATGGCTCTTCATTGGGAAGGGTGTGCAGAAGACACCCTTCATATGTGCACTTTCCTGTAGTGTGTTGGATCCACTCCTCCCACGCATGACCCTCCCAGAGGAATACACCTTCCTAAGGATGCTGTTAACAACACAGAAGTGTTCAAAGGTGTCCAAGCAGCTTCTGGCTGCCTGAGAAAACACCCACCCAGCCAGCGTCTGCTGGTTATGACACATGGGCTGAGGGTGCTGGTGTGGGATGACTGCGCATCTCACATCACTTGCAGGGCTCCACAACAACCCCCTGCCTTGAACAAATCTTCCACCGATGAAAGTGAGTAAAACCAAGCAAAGATTTGACAAGGGTAGGCATTAGGATGAGTTTCTGTCTCTTCATGCTTCAGCAGAGCTGGTGTCAGATGATATTAGTTCGCTGCCACTCAGCCAGATGCAGCTGCTGCCCATGGATGGGCACAAGGTAACTCATTGCAAAGAATGTCAAGGAAAACCACAGTATGGTGAAGCCACTCACCTTATTTCTGTATTAACAATTTTCACAGCATTTAAAATACATACTGTGGAGGTTTGAAACAGTTTTTTAAGTCTTGAATTTTGAACATGAACATCTACCTGAATTGGCAATATTAGTGTAAAGGGCTGCATTTTACTTTTGCTTGAAATAATGTTTTGTTGCTTTTCTAGCAACCATTCAGGGTTTTTTGAATGGATTCTGGTGGGATTATTTTTAAGTACACAAAATCGAATTTTTGCTATAGCTGCAGTTGAGGATGTAATCAACTGTTTGCTGACAGCAATTCTGAACAACTGACTTCTACCATCTACTATTTTTTACCACCAAAGCGCAGAGAATTTCAAATAACCTTAGAATAACTTTGGACCTGTTTCCACTTGCAGGGCTGTAAGTGTCCTCAAAATGGAATCAAATAGCCCTTCCTTGAGAGCTTCCACGTGATGATGGTGAAACACATTCTCAGAACTAAAGGTCAATCTGATTCTAATACTTTCTCAAAAAAAAAAAAAAAAGAAAAGAAAGAAAAAAAAGACAGTCATATGGAAGAGAGCATTAGCACAAGGAGGCCTCGATGAGAACAAAATGTTTATGGAGAAGAGTCCCATCAATATGGTTCCCAACATCCTCAGTGCTGTGATGTCACTTCTCCAAGCACAGTTTCATCATCAGACCTCATTTGCTGAAGGGATTCTTTGGGGAAAAAGAAGGGAAACTTCCTCTGGAGTTCCCTAGACCTCATCTTAATGTTCCATCTCAGTGCTAAGTGATGAAGTTGCCTTTGTTGTATGTTTAACAGGCAGAGTTCAGAGGGAGAGTGAACGTTCTTTGAGGTAATGATATGTATCTTTGAGGTAGCTAACATGAAATTCTATTTTCTCATCAAGTAGTACTTAAAGAAAATGTCCTGCAGCAAGATTCATCATCAAACTAATGCACTGAGTTGCTATGGTTCCTTTGCCTCAATCCTAACATTCCAAGTACAGGGCCCTGAGTGCACTCATCAATTATCGAATAGTTCTGAATTGCTAGGATTTGTTCTGTTGGCTTGCTTTCCCCAGACATATATCCATGCAAACCTTGCTGATTTTCCACTGCTTAATCACTTCCCAACATGTTGAAAATTCATGCACATATTTGCAACATTTTAGCAGTTTTTGCAGATTGACAGTCTTTTTATTTTTACTGGTTCAGCGTACAGCTGCATGATACACAAGCTAAGAAGAACTGGGGAGGATGATTCACAGTAAAATTTTTGAGAAGTCATTTCTTCTAAATCAATGCAGCAACAATTCACATACAGTCCATGATCAGGGACTAAATTCTACATTATTTTAAATTTACTTAGCACTATAAGTAATCATTAGTGACAATACTACTATAACCTGGAAATAAGGTAGGGGCAAGATCTGATCTACATCTGGTTTATATTTATAGTGTTCATTCTTGAATATTATTTTATTTGCATACACTTGCATAAAACAGCAATATAAAACTGTTCCCACAACAAAGAACAGGGTATATTGTACAGCTTATAAGTTATGGTATACAGTAAAACTGGTATCACATTCTATAGGTTATGGGATACATTAATAAACAGACAATAATAACTTAATTTTCAAATTTAACAAATAATTTTAAAAAGGAAGTAAGATATTACATACAATGGGGCTGATTCATCATTACGGCTTTTACTCCCGTTTCAAATTATGGCACTTCCATGCCACAGAAAACTTGCAAGTAAGGCAATGAATCACAGTCAGTACACACAGTTTAGCAGAGCTACATTTTAAGAGCAACCTGAACTTCTTGGAATTTGAGTGTTAGATTTTGCAACCCTGAAGTTGAATTATCCACATTTAGTTTTTCTGCCTGCCTCTGTAATATACATACATACACACACACACATATATATATGTATATATACACATACATAGTACTTGTCTTATGATATTCACCAGCTTTGCACTTTTTGATTGGGAAATAAATACTCAGTTTATCACTTTGCCATTTTTCTTTCACACCAAAAAGGAACCAAGCCATGGAAGCCCACAGGTCCATCTCACTAACATAGTGGCTGATGGGTTGGCTTCTAATGGGAAGCGGCACTCTAAGTATCTAATCACTCTATTTAAAGAATTCAAAACCCTAAACTACTTTGGAACATTCATATATTTTACCTACTGCTAAGCTGGCAATTATTATTTAACTACAAATCTAATCTAGATAATAGCTTTTAAATCCATTGAAGCCAAGATGTGCCATAATAATAATAATCATACAACTACGTACATAGTTGTACCTAATTCCTAATTTTACAATGCTGCAACTCTCCAGCAATAAGTAACAGAAATGTATGTATGTACACATGTAACAGAAAAGGAGTAAACCAGTGTTTTGGATGGACTTATGTCTGCTATTCTCATGCTCACTGAGTACATTTATATTAAAAACAGTATCAGCAGAGAATTGCTGTGGGAAGAGAAGCACAAAATGCTGCTCAAGAACATCTGAAGCCAGATGTCATGAAGTGATACTTTTGATTGCTAGGGCTGCTTGTGCTTCTGTTAAGTCATGGCTTCTTTGGCTCTCATGGAGCGTGAGGATGAGGTCTAAGGAGGAAGCTGCGTAACAGTCACAAAAACTGTTATACCTGTCTGCTGCACTGGACAATTTGTCCTTCGAGCTCAGAAAGACAGGAGGCAGCCATGGGGGACTGAGGGGCTAAAGGCAGCTGGTGATTTAATGTCTGAGTTAGATTTAAAGAAACAGCATGCTTTGCACTGCAAATTAATGTTTATTTTACATAGGACCATCAGAATTGACAATAGGGTGCCAGAGCGCATTTTTCACTAATCCATCCCATAACAACACAGGAACACAGTTTTCAAAGACACCTATTTATGCACCTGGTAACCACTTTTGTCCCCATTGCTTAAAGATTAGAAACACTCTGGGATACACATACACATGCACAGATTAAAAAAAAAGGTAATACAATTTTTTTGTATTCATCGTTTCCTGGTCCCACTGTTGCCACTGGCAGACTTATTGAAACTTTTGCTCATTTGTGGGAAGTGTACAGTTGGTGTTCTTTCAGTGGGGCCATAAAGCCCTAAATTCCTGGCTGTAGCTGACTTTCGAAGAGGTTTGACGCTGGGAAAAGGATTGAAGACTTGTGGCTTTGGGTTCCCAGGTTGGGGCAATTTAGCCAGGTTTGCACTGTCTCTGGATGAAGTGGAGGACTCTGATAAACGTGGCTGGCTGGACTGATGGGGTGTTGACTCAGCATCGGTTTTGCTATCTGAGGTGAGTTCAAGTGCTTCCAGTTTTAGCTGAATCACTGCCATGTTTGTACTGCTGTCCACAGAGAGCAGCTCAGATGACTGATGATCAGCTTTCTGAGTAGTCCTCTCATCCAAACCACCTCCTTCTCCTTCTCCAAAGTCAGAATGTTTGGAAGTCTCCTCCTTTGCACCAGGACTATTTGTTTTACAGCTCTCACTCTGCTCATCTATCAGTCCTACGGTATCCCCGTAGCCCAGCTGGCCTTTGGCCCTTGCAATATTCTTCCGATGAACTCGTATGTGAGTGCGCCACGGAGAGTTGAGTTTTGTTTTAAGATCTTCTTGGGGAATGGGAGACATCTTCCCTGTAGCATGACTTGGGATGTGAATAACAGCATTTTTGAGAGACCTGTTATTCAATTTCATCTTCTTTCCTAAAAGGAGGTGGTTTATCACCGGGGAGTGGTTTACCTGAGAAGGGAGGAGGCTGGTAACTGGCCCCTTGTCTGAAAAAAAAGCATTTAAAAGAAGCATAGTATTGTTAAAAACAAAACAACTTAGTGTTCTAAGGATTCACCACAAAATTTGATGCCTTTCTTGAGGTATAGCAAAGGCTTGTAGGACTAAGTGCTTACTTAAAAAAAAAAAAACCCAAACTTAAAAATCATCACTGAATTTCACTAATGTCTTGGAGTTGAACACAAAGTTATACCTTCTGTGATAAGGATTTTATATCCTCCCTCCCTGCTTTGCCCCTATGGGTAAGTCCTGAGCCAGAAAGACCATGAAAATAAATCATTAAAAAATAGCTTCTTGATTTTTGGAATTGCGCTTCTTCCAACTGTGAGAGGCAATTCAGCCTCCATACAAGGTCAATAAAATAAGCCTCTCCATGAGGCTTGTGTGACTGGAGAATGAATCAAAGTGCTTTTAATGGATAAATCGCATCTTATTAAACCAGAGGAGTAGAGTCAGAATTAGAAATTAGATGAACGTTTGATTAAACTACAAGCCCAGCCCTGCATCATGATTAGTAAGATTAGAAAGGTTTTGTTTGGAAGGTAAGGGTTGGCAATCCTTAGGAATCAACATTTTACTGTTTGCACTGTTTCTGTTGGCTCTAGCCTTTGTTCAAAGAAAATATTTCACTAATTTTTTTAAAAATTCCTTACAAATTATGTTAATGAAAAATTGTAGCTCCATGTATTTCAATGCTACTGCTAGCACAGGTTTAAACAATCTAGAATAGAAATAAAAATTCTCCACAGTGACCTATTTGCATGATTGAATGCTGACTTAGAAGGATGACACCCAAGTGGGGTAGAATGAGTGGGGTGGGCTGTGTTCAGTTTGCAGGCCCACTAAAACCATCAGCTGCGCTGTTCATGCCAGCTCCTGAACTGTTGAGCCTGCCAATACGGGAAATGGATTCCATAATCTGGATTGCTAAATCCAGGCTGACGTCCAGCTCAGCCCTCAGAACAGTACCATTATGGCTAGGTAAACTGCCAGCCACGATGGAACATCTAAGCCTGTTCCTTTAGCTGCATAATTTGCCATGCCCGAACGAATTCAGAGGAGGTCAGATAATACAGACCAGCCAGGAATCCACCTGCCACATGGTCTGAGGCATCCTCATCTTTCCATTTACTTTTTTCAGTGCTTCAGTATGTCAGTTCCAAGAGTGCCAAAGATTTAGAGTTTTTAATCAGAGAGATCAACACAATGCACCAGATAGTAAAGACATTTTTAAATACCATTGTTCAGTTGGTCCCTGGGACCTAAAAAAATCCCAGGGTCATCATCTTCAGATCCTGACAAAAGAAAAAACATCACCTTCTCATTTTCTGTCTGTATGAAGTCCAACCCTCTTTACTACTAATGTGTTATATATTCCATCAGTCTCTCTTGTTTTGTCTATTTAGTTAAATGTAAAAACCCGTCATTTGCCTTGTCTCCACTGATTAAGTTAGCTTGCAATAAAACAGTAAAGGAAGCATGTTTCGATTATGTTACCTGCTCTGATATATACATGGTGAACCTGCTGTTGCTGCTTCTTCTTTATCCTGGAATATTGCTTTTTCAGTGCGTTAATATCAGTGGTCATACGCTCCATCATCATGCTGTTAAAAGCAGCATGATAGTCGCTTCGGCAAGAGTCTATTGCTCCTGGACTTAACTCTGCAATGTTATTGGAACCGAGACTTTGTTCTTCATTCTGATCTGCACAAGGTGGGAATAAAGTGGAGGTGAGGAGTAAATGGGCATACTCAAGGAATTCCACAGATTATTTACTGGGGAATTCTGTATCTGATTCCTATCATCTTATTTAACTGTATTCTTAAATTAAAAATTTATTATAATATGTATATTTAACTAAGTTGTGCTATTTACAGTAAGTAGTATTACTACTGGTCAAGAATAGCAAGGGTTTGAGGGGAGACTAAAGAGCACAAAAGTCAATTAACATGGAAATGCCAAGTTATAAGCACAGTTCTTCAAATATTGAGAAGTACATCAAACCATCACTAAAATAATTCAGTAACTGATTATTAAAGACACTCAGCTGGTCAAAGAAGAGGCCAACAATGCAAGTTATAAAATACCTTACAGTCAAGCAGGCATGAGCTTAAACAACTGACCTAGTGATACCACCAAGAAGCATCAAGAAACAGTTACACCACAGGGGGAAAGCTGCTAGTAGCGATAAAAGGGATAGGTGCAGAGCAGCTGAGGGTCAGACAACTTCAGAGCGTCTCTGATCCACAGCTGCAGAGCAGCAGGGCAATTTATTTTCACAGCTGTTTCTGATGCACCAACCTGGCACTCCAGGGTCAGGTGGATAATTCTTTTCAAGGGATGTTTATTTGTCTTTAGCTTAGTTTGTAACAGCAGTTTGATGTTCTGACTAAGTGCTAGCTTGAAGCAGCGGGTAGAGTCTTACAGTCCCTCAGGAAGGGAAAAACAAAACCCCACAGCAATCAACAGGAAAATTGCAGCTCACAGGTCTCAGCAAAATGAAGACACAAGGATGATGAAGTATAATCAGATAACAGCAACTGCTACAACAGTCTGGGGTTTTTTGGTGGCAAGGTGGAGGTGAGTTGAGGATACGTAACAACAGCCTCTCCCAGGATATTGTGAAATCATTGTCAATCCAGTGCAGTTTCAGAAAGGTTGCTACATGTTAACAAATCATCTTTGCTTTTCTTGTATGGATCAGAACTTAGTTCTCCTTGTAGAGCTTGCACAGGTATACATACAATTCTGTCAAGAAACTTTATTTCAAAGTGGAGGGACTGGAAAAGTATTGGCATTTTGTCAGAACACCCTAAACCATACAATTTTTTTTTTAAAAAATGTGCATATATCCAACAACCAAAACCAATCTGAAGGTTGGACAAAAGGGCAATGAAATGACCTGCAGAATTCACTCACTGTGAATACTAATATTAATATTGAGGTTACAGTATCAGTTGTGTATATATGAATAAAGGTCAAAATCATTTATTATACGTACACTCTTCAGAAAATGCTGACTACTCGACTGCTGTTTTGGAAATACACATGGATTTAGGGTGGACTGTTTTCCATGCGTGTGTTTTGGTTTTCTGTGGGTGGGCAACGTTATGGGGTTGTTTTGTTAACTATTACTGTACTCAAATCCTTAATTCACACTGTCTTTTACTGTAATACCTACAGCCTTCCAACTCGACTTTGAAGACATCTTCAACAACTGCACAGCATGTCGTTTGGTACCTGCTGTAACATCTATGTGCATATAAAACACATTTTCCATAGCAGCTTTCACAGAAGAAGGTACAGACAATTTCTGCAAGGCCATGCAGATTTAACCACATTTTCCAAAATTAACAAGATCACTTTTACCTTTCATCTGCTTTTGGTATTTTTGGAGCTCTGGTGCCAAAAACCCACTCAATGGTCCAAGACAGCCAATTGCATTCGCAATTGAGTCTTCATCATCTAAGTCATTCTCTTCATCACTGTCTCTGGTTCTGCCTAACCTTCTGTCAAATGAGAACGTAACAGAACTTAAGAAAGAAACATTCTTAAATATGAACATTACCAAACATCTTTATCTTAAGAGCATACAGGGGAGGGTGCCATCTGCCTTTTCAATCCTACATAAACAATAATCGTATATGACATAAGCAGTGCATTTCAACTTACCCTGAAAATGAAGCTGATTTTACTGCTGCAGGAAAAGGAGTAATGTTGTATGTGTATTTCTCCCTTAATTCTGCCAGCTGTGGGAAGGGAAACTGAGCCATGGTATAAACAGTCTAGGGAGGAAAAAAAGCAGCTTTTAAAACTGTGGATTTAACAAACAGCCCCACAAAAGATTTCTCCATGAAAAGACTTTCAGAGTCTTGCAGGATTAAAGGATGCACATTCTTGCACACTCATGTGCTTAAGAAAATGGTCTAGTTTTATGATTCAGTCAGTACTTCCTGTAAGACTCACCCACTAGAAAAAACCCAGAGCATGAACTGAAGTTTTGCCACTCCATTAAACTACAATGCTACTGTGAAAGAAAAATATTCTCTAGGGCCTAACAGTGATAGCCTGTCAGTCTAACAGACAAAGGCATTTTACAATCTGGAGAAAGACCTACCTCCAGCCCAACATTTCTGCCTGTTTGTTTGATCTCTACCATACCTTCCTGTTTGAGTTTTTTTTTCCGTAAGTCTCAACTCTCTCCCTTCATAGGGAAGTAAGTTTGTCTGGAATTTATTTCTACTCTTTATGTCAACAGTCTTTTCAGGTAACCTTTTCAGAGGATAGTTACCCTGTAAGTGAAACTGTCAACTCTGAGTCCTTCACTTACTCCTTGTACCTACTGTTTTAGATTATGTTTTAGCTTTTGCTTGTCTCCAATCAGTGTCTCTTCCAGATCCTCTATAATTTCTTTCAATTAGAGTACACATTTTTAGCTAATTATTTGTTATCAGATTATAACTGTAGGGCTTGCTTGCCACCTGACTAAGAGATCCATAAAACAAATTTTATGCTGATGCAAGTTCCACTGGAAATAAAAAAAAATATTGTCAATCAACACCTGTGATATTCTCCCAGCAATGCTTCAGTGTCAAAGTATTCTGTTTCTAGTTTGTACACAGCCTTGGAAGCCATTTCGTTAATTCTGGTGAAAACTGCGCCAGAGGGAATTGGTCTACACATACAAAGCACGAGGCAGCCAAGCTCAGTATCTTATTTATAGTGATAGGGGACAGATTCTGGGAACAAGAAAAGAGACAACAAAAAAGCCCTCTATTTTCACCTTGAATCGTTTTACAATTCTTTGCCTTACTCTAAAAATGCAAAGGCATCTACACCCTCAGCAGAACACCACAGAGTAGGCTGTGGCTTCCAAAAGAGAGTAAGCTGTTTTGCAGACAGCTCAAACACACTGATCTAAAGAGCTGACCCACACTGTTTTAAGGCTCTTCTCTCTTTTCACTTTCATGAAGAAGACAAAACAAAAAGCAAATGCAAAAACAAGCACAAAAGATAACACAAAAAGTGCTATTCAAGTAGAAAGTTAGCAGTGAATACCATCAGATCAGGGTAACTGTCTAGGGAGACAATCTAAAATGCTAGAGTACCACAGAGGGATAATTCCTGTTCCCCTCCATCCCAGTAAATACACAGGGATGCTTCTCTTTCTCCTGTTAGCTTCTCATCTTCTCTACACTTCAATGTTTCTGGTTGTACAAACTGAGTTAGTTTAGCTGCTTATAAAAATGCTTGCTTTCTGAGAAGGCATGAAAGCATGAATTCAATCTAGCAGAGGCTGTTTAAAATATCTGCAGACACCTGGTGCACAGACTTCTGTCTCCATTATTAACAGGCCAATAAAACAGCATTACTGAATAATGTATTTAACTTCTACTCTTGAATAAATACTCAGTCTAGAATGTGATGTATAGCACTCACCTTTTATTTACCCAAACTGTTCAATTTGAAAAAGGAAGAAGCTGTAGGCTTACTTCCTCCTCCAATCCCTCCATACTCTACTCAGTAATACATTTTAATAACCCAAGGGCCAAATCTGCAAAAGCTTTAAGCCCTCAATCAGTCCAAGTTACATGTAGTGCCTGCATTGGAGGGATAAACTTACAGCAACTATATATGCTGGTGGAGAGAATGAGGACGAGAGTCCTCTGACCTGCTTTAGACATCTGCTCTGTCAACACCTCCCTTGAAGGATCAGTTATCCCTCCCTCTTCTAACTCCCAAAGGAAACAAGTCTTTTAAAGCACAATTTGTTTCCCAGTGGTTGAGAAGTGCCTGTTACTCTTCACTGGTTTAAGTGAGCCTGGACAAGTAGTTCAGATGTAAATGTAAGTATTATGCAAGTCTAAAGAAAAGCGAGATGATTGCCACCAGCAAGCCTTCCTGAAACATGCAGGGAAGGCAGAGTGGGATATTAATCCTTTCCTGCAGTAGGCTACTAATCCTTGAGCTACCTTGTAAAAAGTATTAGATGTAAATTCATCATTCTGATTATGTAAATTCATCATTCTGATTTTTATTAGGGGAAAATAAAAAAAATTGAAAACAAAGCAGTCCAAACATTCATGTCTGTCTGATTCCTCTGAAAAAGTTTAAAGAAATGTAAAAGGCAGTGTGTTCAAGCAGCCTGCGTCTTTTCATTAATGCAATGGTTCATATTTCTTAATTTTCTTCTCTAACCAGACAAGTATGTAGTAGCATCATCTACCCTGATGGTAAACTCTTGTAGTGCCTATTTCTCTCCACCTATGGTAAAGAGGGCCTGGAGTGAAGAACTCAGAGGTTGCTACATTGCCAGTGTCTGTCTTCGGCTTGAAGAAGGCTATCGAACTACATTGTGGCTTCCTCAATTAACAGGACACTGTGTCCTGTTAAAAATAAACCAGACACTTTTCTATGGACAAAACTTCAACTGCCACACTCTCCATATCAATGGCAATGCTTTCCTACTTTAGCATTCCTGCCAGTTTCACAAAATACACACATTCACTATGAATACACACATACTTTGCACCAAGTACTCATTTTTTGCTGAAACACAAAAAGACTGATAATTTAGTATATTTGTAATTGCAACAGATAAAAACCAAAAACAATCCTTCCAGCAACCAGTAAGTTAGCTATGCTCTATCTTCTACTACACACAACTGCAAAGAAAGAAATCCACACTGAGTCATTAAAGTCTACTTTTCTCAAGATTATTCTTTGTCACAAATATCACATCTTGATTTTGTACCACACTGGAGACCAGGAACTGAAGCACAATGAAAATGAGAAGGCTTCAGCTTGCACTGTTCTCCTCACACATCCTCAGTATCTGAACCGTCTTGAGAGGAACCTGAACACTCTTTAAAAAGCATGTAAGTACCTCTGACCAGCTGCATTTCCATTTTTGAAGGAAAACAAAACCACAGCACTCACTTCTTCCATTCCTAGAGCTTTCTCATCAGACAAAAACAACAATACCCAAAATAATAAATCTGAAAATAATCCTTTACACTTTGGGGCAGTACTTTACCAGACTAGGGAAGCATAGTATCCCAGACAGAAAGTTTTGCTTCAAATAATGGGTAACAGAGATCACCTGCTAACTACTGTTATTAAACTCACACAACTTCATAGACTGACTTTTTTCCTTCACCAAGGAAGGTACAAAATTTCAGGTTTATTACATGCTCTGTACTTGCACCCATTTAATCACTGTGCTCTAGTTCATCAAAAGGAAGTTCTAGAAGTGTAGCATGAAGTCTTTATAAAACATCTAAGTAAACAAAATCTTAAAGATATCACAAGAATAAATGTAAGCATGAATAAATAAATTGTATCTGCGATGTTAAAGGCCCTTTATTTTTCCAGAACAATGTGGATCTTCGTTCTCATACAATGATGTATGCTGTGAAAACTCAGCGACTGCAATTATCTACAGATGTCTTTGTTTATAGTTCACTAATGGCTGTTCGTGGCCTTTTTTTTTTTAATCATGAAAGATTTTTTTATTCCCTTTTCACTGCATAGACTCTTGCTTCCCACAGTGTCTGCAGAATGAAAAGCATACAGTGTAATAAACAACTGACCAAAACATCAAAATAAGACTAAAGAACACCCTAAAAATGATGACTACTAAAAGATTCTATATCTCACTTGTGTAAATCAAATTTTATTGTACTTTATTGGATGTTTATAATTGGGCACACAGAACCAACTTTTATCAAATGAAGTCTAGTGGTTCTCTGTATTTAATGCATAAAATAAGAACTTTAACTGCAGGTCATCTATTTGTTTCATTAATGTGCCAGCTCAACCCAGTTATCTGAAACTTTTATTCTGGGGAGAGTTTAGGTTTCTGCAGTATCTGAACAAAAATGTAATTTGTTAGGAATCAACATCTGAAGGATGACACAAAACCCACAAACTATACCACAGTTACTCACCTGCATAAGTTCATTGCTGTCAATCAGACTGTCTTCAAGCATCTCCTGGGTCAGCTTGCCCATGGTACTGTAAAACTCATCTGCAGTTTCACAACACTCTATTTGCCTACATCAGAATACATGTTGGTTTTTATTTTAATTTTACATATGATGATACATAGACCAAACTTGCTTTTTTTTGCCATCATAAAATACACATTTCCATTAGTCAGCTTAACTTCTAAGTTTATTTTGAATCTTGATTAGGCTTCCAATTAATAAAACTGTGCACATGACATTGGAAAAGCTGGTGCAGTAAGAGGATGTACTGAGTACAGCTTACTGTCCTGATTGCTCATGATAAGGGATTCATGTATGTCCAGACAGGCTCTTCTCTCTGCCCCTTTCACTTCTACAACACAAGAATCAGTAAATCCTGCCTCCTATTAGCACAAGGGCATTCTCTCATTAGCGCAAAAAGGGAGCATAAGGATTTCTTGACTGCCTCATCACCCGTTCTTCAACATGCACCAGATGACTGAATTCACTATCTGAACTGTCTTTTTGTCAGACAGGAACATATTCTCTGGCCAGAAACCATTCCTGTGGAATAAATTAAGTATCTGTGTATATATATATATATATATATGTCATTGTGTTCAAAAAGAACTATGCTAGCATAATGCAGAATGAAGGAAAATTCCCTCATCGTATTTGCAAATGCTATTTCCAAATTAAAGATGTAAAGTTTTTTGTTTTGCCTGTTTGCTTTGCTAGTGTGTTTTCATTTGTCTTGGGGTTTTTTGGGGAGTAGGAGGGAGTTCCATTGGTTGGGTTTTTTTCCCCAAAGTTTTCTTTAAATCTCTAAAAACACAGAATCACCCACAGTGTCTGCTAGAGGAAGGGAAATATGAGTAATAAGCCTTCATGAGTTGGTGTTCTATGTATATTAAGGGCCAGCTTCTAAAAATCTCTCAAGTGAAAAATCTGTTTTACTTCTATCCCAAAGAAGTGCATTGATGGCTACATATTGTAGCCGCTCCTCTAAAACACAGCTGCTGGAAAGATGACAAAAATACACTGCCATTTTTCTTGAGCATTAGAAGAGGAAACTTTCTGGATCTTCAACCTCTGTACAGAACAACCATTGAACTGTGAAACTCCTACTAAAATCTTAACATAGTTTAGTTAAAATAATAATTACGTATCTAAAAAAAAAAATTAAAAAATTAGTATGGTATGTAGCCAATTATCACAAACTTACTGCTTACCTTCCCGATAGCAGTCTCTCATGACCTCCCCATACTGCACCTATTCCACTGCATCTATTTTTAACCTCCCTGTTCTTTCAGCCTCCCTCAAAACAGAAGTACAGTTGAGCCACCAACATTTTTAAAACACACTTCTCACCACATTTTCATTTCTAGAATGATAGTCTTGGAAACTATGAAGATGAGACAATGATCACTATTTTCAGGCCCCACTTCTTTAAATCTCCCCTGTTCTATTTCTAATGGTGGACAAATAGAAACAAAAAAATCACAATCTTCTCCCAGCAAAAACACAATGACCAATCTTTTACCAGACCTTCTCCCATTCACCACAAACAACAGTTACAAAACATGCAGTCTGATCAGCTTATTCTTTTGGATATATTCTTACAGATTTCTTGATTCTTTTTCTTTTCATTTTTTAAAACATTAAATTTTTCTTCAAACTTCACAGTAAAATCTTCAAAGCAGTAACTTCTTTTTTTATCACGAGCTGTAACACTCACAGCTTTTAAGTGCACAGAGACCCACTGCAGTAGGACCTTTTATCTAAAGCACTATGTGATTACATATAGCTTAATCCTAAAGCAAATGATTTGTGCAAGTTTCATTTGTGAACTGATTAAAAATGCTCTCAGGAAATTATTACTATTATTATTCTTCAGATTAAAAATTAAATGTACTAAACAAAGCCTCTTACAGTGCTACTGGCTCGCAGTGCTAATTTATTCAGTAAGAAAAATAAAGCAAAACGTCCAAGAGCAGAGCTGAACATAAATCCCAGTGTTTCGGTCTCAGGGAAAAAAGGAAGGTGAGTGTTAAAAGTCATCACAAGAAAAACTTGATACAGCTGCTGATGCCAGCTGAAAAATGTTTCCAGCTGAACTAACAATCTGGTTGACCTGTCAGAGCTCACACCTCCCACTAAAGCCAGTGACAAAACTCATTTCTCTGGGAGCACTGTAAACTCTCTGGAATGCAAATATTTGCTGTAACAACAGAGAAGTTTACAAGAACTAACCATCTCTTGTGTTTTGGCCATATGGTGAGTTTCCAAGACCTTAAAGGACTATGATAGAAACTTGGCTCAAATGTGCTTAAAAGCAGATAATTTCAGGAAAATTTGTTTTCAGTTCTTACCAGAAAAGACCTACGTCTCACTAAGTCATTCTCTTAGTAACACTACACTCTTTTATTGGGCATAGCAAATGGGCTCAAATGCCTACATCTCCTTAAGTGAATACAAGAGAATTAACATCCTCAGCTTCAGGTACCCAACTAAGTTAGCTAGTCACCCTCAAGTCTCTGTGTGTGTTTTTCCAGCAAGTATTTACCAGTTCCTTCTGAGGTTTATGTTCTGGAAAGTCCAACTAACCTATTAGCACGGCATGAAGACATTATACACAGACAACTCAAATAACTGGAGACATTTCCTTCAGCAAAGGTTGTTTATCATGTCCATTATGACACCATGTCAGAATCATGTGTTTTTGGGAAACTCATAGAGATCCTTTGTGCAGCTTTTTCAAAACAAAACCATTCTCCTGAAAGATTTAATCTTGAGAACATGCTCTTTGGGACAACAAAAGTTACACATGGCTCATACCAAAAAGAAAAATCACAGAAAAATGACCACTTACTCTCCGAGCTTCGCCCAGATAGCCAAAGCTACTCTCAGTATAATTTCAGAGCCTTCAAAGAATACTGAATCCCAGATCTTCAGAACTGTATGGTTAGGCAGACAAGTGGCAAAGAGCGTCAGAAACCACTGCATTGTGAAAACATTTGTAAGCGGGGGTTCGTAGCCTCCTGAAGTTAAAGAAAAAAACCAAAAAACTTGAAATACTATGATTTATTATTATTTTACAGGAAGTATAAACTGCACACTCAAATCCATCAGACATTCTAGTACCTCTGTCATTACTCAAAACTTATTTAGCCTGCAGCTGTCTAAAGATAAGCTGAGAAACGCAATGGAAAACTGACAGTCACCTTTCATTCTGCTGCTGCAAAAACTAAGCAGCAACACTGGGTTTGGACTGTAAACTCTGGAATAAGCTACCACACTTTTTTCCCTTGTATCAGAAAGATTGCTTGTCTTTCCCCTAAGTCATATGAAATTAAAACATTTATTAAGAACAAAACTAAAAACTAAACACACGAAACCAAACAAACAAGAAACCCAAAACAACAACAACAACCACCACAAACAAAAAACCCAACAAAACCCACCAACTCCCCCCCAAAACACTGCATTTCTTCAGCAATTATAGTTTGGACATAGCCACATGGAATATAGTAGCAAATCTTTTCGAAGATGGAACTCAGGGTGCACTTAGCTTCCTGACTGAAAAAGAAACCCAACCAATTAACATAAAAACCAAAACACACTTCCCAAAACACTCCCAAATAAAAGAGCTGAAAGTCTGGAGGGAATGCTACACCAGGAAAAAAAAAATCACAGTGCAAAGCCACTTTTCAGCAACCTAAGATGTACTTCTGAGTTTTGCACCTGTGTATTGCTAAGCATCTAGGTGAAGAAATATTAATCTGCCCCCACTGGCTCTCCCACTGTAAATCTTCCCAGAATAGCAATAGTAGGACAGGTATTTTGAGCTAAGGCAAGAAATGACCTTTTCAATGCAGCCCTTGTACTAAGCTATGTGTTAGTGTTGTCACCCCATGCATTATATAGTCCTGTCAACACAATTCTGTTTGCATCTAGCGGTGGGACCAAATTATTTCCCCCCCACCTTTTTTTTTTTCCTGAAAGCACCACCTATTTATGTTAAGGTTATCAATAATTGAAAGCATCATGTTTCACCTTAACAATTTTAAATACATTCTAAGCAATAAGCTCATGCAAACACTTGAACTGTACTCTTAAATCAGTGCTCAGATGAAACAATAACAAGACAGAGTTAACATTATTTTCTGTTGAACGTACCTCCACTTTCTCTGTTAGCAGCTCTTTGCAGGGTGTCTAAGTGCTGGGACAGTTCAGGAAGCTTCATTTGTAAAAGATCTCGGAAAACAGCCATATCCACAGAGAGAGCACGGAGATTATTGACAAAGTAGCTATCAGGAAGCACCTTATCTATCAGGTAAATCATGATCTATGGGAAAATGAAAGATCATCACGTAGGACTTACAGAGCCAGCTATTTTCTAGGAATAACATAAAAATAAAACCAGACAATTTGCAAGTTCACTAAAGAATAGCTTGGAGCCAGTGACAACACATGCCTCTGGTACCTCCATTTATATGGGGAGAAAAAAAAAATTATCATTTGAAGCATCTACAAGTATTCTTAAGTACCCAAAAGCAAACAAAATGCAAAGGTCTCTTAAGGCTGTCCAGACTTTATGAACCATGAATGACTGAAATCAACATCGCAGTAAGCTATGATCTAATTGGCAGCATTAATCAAACCAAAGACAACTTCTAGCACTTTTGATGTTGGATGTGTTTATGAGATTCTCCACACTGTCGGACAGCTTCAGTGTCCCTTCTCTGGTTAACTGCCACAGCTAGAAGACTGACTGTCCAAATCACCTCTTTTCCCTCCCCAAAATGCAAGAGACTGTTCTTTAAAAAGAGATCCTCCATACATTTTACTGCGATGTGTTACCATGTGCTTGTAAAAATATGAATTATTTTGTTCAGATATATTTCAACCGATAGAAGAATAATTTAATAAAGCAACATTAACTTACAGCTATGCTATTTGTGCTTTCATTAATTACTTATGACATAAGCCATAAAGAAACCAATTTATAAAGGCTTTTGCCCCTTCCCACTGAATCATATTACTTAACAGATCTCAGATACATGAAAGCATAGAAAAGAACAGAAATCTTTTTTCAACATTTAAGTCCATTCTGTTTCATCAACATGTGAATTGCTTTGAGAATGCTTTTTTAAAAAGCAGATTCATGTATTTACCAGTTTGCAATAGATATTTTCTTCATTACACATCTCTACATATTTATTTTTATTACTCGACTCTGTAATATTTCCCCACAGTAATGTGCAAGAAAAAACATTGTTTAAGTTTCAGTATCTATGAGACTTATATGCACACTTTGATAGCTTCTACACATGCAAGTTGTGATTTTCTTGCTTATCATTATTTCTGTAGACTAACTTTGAGGCAACTCCAGGGATTCAACTTAAATATGCTTACCTTAACTAGTGAAAGCTCAAATATCACTGGTTGGGCATTCACTGAAGCTACCATGTTGGGTCCTATGCTGTTAAAGCCTCATGGTGTCAGTAGTACCTGCTGTTTCCCAGCCTCTGGAAGACTCTTCCCACTGAGCTTTTGTTTGTAATGTCCTTCCCCAAAATGGGACCTGACTGGCAAGTCCTGAGAATGCACTTACTCCTTTAACTCCTAGCCTCTACAAAAATTCAAACATAGTTACTCCATAGCTCCAGTCCCAAGGGCACCTTTACAGGCAACAGCATCTGTAGCTGTTCTGAAGTCACTCATCACTTGGTTTAGGTGGCAGCGACTACAACAAAACAGTCACATACCAACACCCAATTATTTTCTTCTCCTCCCCCTCCCCCATTCTTTCCCCCTTCTTCCCTCTCTCTTCTCAGAAAACTCCAATCCTGCAAAGCCCACACACTAAGTTTGGAGAAGAAACGACTATTTTCCATTCTTGGTTTTTCCAGGTAAGACCTGTTTTGGTGCAAACAGCCTTCAGTGCTTTATATCCCCAGGGCAGTCTGGCACCATTCCATTGCGTCCTTCCCACAAGGAGCTCGACACCACTCACAATAAAAGACAATACAATAACAAAAGGATGCACATAGTTCTTATAAAGAATTTGGACTTCATAAACCTCAGGTGATTGTATTTCCTATATTGTCATAATATGTTTTTGATATAAAGTAGGTATATTATGGTATTTTCTTCCTACTACAGGCAGCTCTCTAGAATGCAGGAACAAACACCAGCTATCTGGACTCTACTACCACAAGCTTTAAACTTTAGGACCTCTGAGTGAATTTAAATACTTACATTTAAATCATTGCCTAAGGCAAACAGCTCAGTATTTCAAGACTCACAGTTATCTTTTATTAATCTGACCCCAACTCACACACGAGTTTACTTCAGGAAATTTGCACATGACCTTGGCAAACAAATCACTTCCTGGCTTAAAATAAACCATATTTCCATTTTCTGACATACTATGAATTTCATGAAGCTTTCTTTAATTAAAACAAAAATGGTCTAAGAAAATAAAACCACTGTATGACTAAGATAGCCCAGAAATTAGTTTCAAGGTGATTTACTTGCCCTTTAAATATTTAGTGTTTTCCTAGGGTTTGCTTTAAAATGTAGCAGATTTATTAACTGCCTCACATGCCACTGCCACACAAGATGTTGATACTACAATTTTAAAGTTTCAGCTACCTATGATGTCTGCAAGCAGACTCGAGAGTATGGGATAAGATATTCTAAAGTGAGTAGCAGTGCTGCCATTTATTTTTATTAACTATTATTTTATTAATTTTTATTCTTTTATTACAGCCAAACCTTCACTTGTTTCTGTTTGGAAAAAAAAATTAATAGTGATAACATTCAAACTGTTAATTTCAGATAGGACAAAAAAAAATGTGCAGATATAAACTGGTTAACTCCTTTGAGTCCTGCTCTTTTAGGCTGTCTATAAAATTCATGCACTGGTTTATTCTGAAGTTCAATAATTAAAAGCAATCTTCAACACTGAAAAAAAAAATTTTACTCACTTTCAGGGCATCTCCTTCATTGCCCTCCATTACTTCCAGAATAAGTGCAGCTAGTATGTTAAATCCTTGACAATAGCCAACAGATTTGTTCCACCTGGCATAAGCCAGCAAAACACGTTTCAATACCACTCGATCTTGCTCTGCCTCCTGGCCACAGTAAGAACTGCAACCAGTTCGGTGAAGGTCCTTTAGAGAAAAAAACCAAAACAAACAAGGACAGACAAGACCTGTATTCCTTTGGTTCTCCTGCCTATCCTAGTTTTCCTTCCACCTCCACCCTCCCAATATCTACTCTCAAAGTTGATGACAATGCTTCTTTTTTAATCCGTAAATGTTTCGCTTAACCAAGAGAAATAGTTTAAGGAAGCCCTGAAGTAAACAAGTTACCTAAAAGATGTTCATACAAAGTTATCACAGAAGATATTAACAGATCTCTGGGTTTCAAAGAGGCAAGACATAACAGCCGCTTAATTGAACAAAAAAGAGCAGCTGTTTTTATCAAAGTATAAAAGAAGTAGTAGGTAACTAAGTTTTCAAAACAAAAATCAGAAACTGTGTCCTTCAGATTTAAGCTATTTGTAAGCAAAAGGCAAAACACCTACTACAGTTTTCAATATTTAGTAAATATTATCTATAAGTTTAAATTACCAAGTACAGATGACAACTGTAATAATCAGGAACAAAAAGCATCTTGCTCCATGTGCTCTAATTAAAGTGACTGTAGAACACAATCTCTCCTAAACAGAGTAATACTCCCTAAACAGGTAAACAGACTAGTATTTAGGTCACTGCAGCAATAAAAATCTCTTAAGCTCTTCCCTAAAAGTGCCACCTGCTTTAAATATTAAACATTCATTAGCTGAGAAATATATACAGACAAACACGTTTCACTCCTGTAAAATAGGTGAAAAACACTCAATTGCTACATTATGAAACATACTTTTAAATCTCAAATTTTTGTGTTTATTCAGTGAGAAGGAAAAAATCCACTTATGTTTCTTTGTCTCCATGAAACTCCAGTACCTCTTTCAAAATAAAAAAAGCAAAAATTGAGGAAAAAAGATCAGTAATAGCCATTTTTTTCTCAGCTGACACTAACGAGTCTAGTGCAGAAGGCCCAAAGCAGACAAAAAAATTAATTTTGGTGGGCCAAAGGGAATTAAGATGTAATTTTTGCCAAGGTAGTTGCAGAGAATAAAATAAAGCCAAATTAAAATTTCAACTTTTCATTAAAAATAACCGGCAACAAAAACAAATAATCTCTCTACCTTTACTATCTGGATGCCCATAGAGTCATCATCAGGATTACTCCTTTCATTGAATGTGAAACGCATGGTTTTGTCCCAGTCAATTGCTATACTGTGTAAGTACTGATCAGCTAGGGTCAGCCAAACCTAGAAATACACAAGGAAAGTCAACAAAATTAATTATTTCTAGGATTAAAATATAAAGTTTTGATATATATTGTTAGATTAACCTCATCAGGTTCACCCATACGTGATCTCCTTGAAATATGCAGAAGAGGACTATATCTACAACAATTTTTGCACCATTAAAAAAATACCTTGATCGCTAAATCAGAAAGGAAGGAAAAGGTCAGCATTAAGTGTCCAGATCTGTGAACTGCTTGCAAAGTGTAAGTCCACTGTCAGACACTGAAACCACACGAGCCCTCCAAGATGGAAGCACAAGGTAAGGACCCTCTTTTTCAATTCAGCCCTTCTATCCTCATAACCTACAAGGAGTTTTACAAAAGAGTAACACTGCTGCTGGCTTTCCTCAAACTCAACCATGGATATATTTCCTGGAAACTCCACAAAAGAAATCTAAAAATGCTGGTGCTTCTCCTTTCCAGAAGTCTCTTCTGATCAACTATGCAGAAGAAATAGTATCTAGTGTTAACCATTTGGGATTGATCTAAAGGCATCACTTGGGTCAAAGTAACTTACTCTCACAAGAGGACTTCCTAAACTGTTGAGGCTACAGGGAGTTCTGAAACAAACAATTTGACTATTTTTAATAATTTCCAAAACAGATTTATGCATGTGTACCTACGACAAAGGCTGGATCATTATTAAAGATTTGCAAAATTCCTGAAACACGAAAGACACATGACATATCATACAATGACAACAAGTAACAATAAAGGATCTTTCTCCAGGTAACTGAAAGATATCATGAAAGCAAAATGGTCAAGTTTTATATCAGCCTTTAATTCACTCAAGTGAGAAAGGTAATTTCAATACTTCCCACAGATTTAAACATTTAGATAGCTGCATGATGAAGGAATTTATAGACAGCTCCCAGAATCTCATGTTTTCTGCATTTAAATGTCCCTTCCCACACTTTTGCAAAGCCAGCATGAGGAGGAATGCTGTTGTTCTGCCTCCCAGCAGCTTGGGCTCTGCTGACATCCTATGGTGTTATTTGACTGGATTCTTTCTGCCAGCCCCAGAAAATGAATGTCACATGCCACAACAATAATGCAGACGTCATCCTGCTCCTCCTGCTGACGGCAAAGGAGGCAATCAGCACGCTGCCAACACAAAATCGTTCATTTATTTTAGTATCTATCTTAAAATCATTGGGAAAACAGGGAATGGCAATGAAAAGAACCACATTCCTTTTCTTAAGGCTACTTCTTTGGGTAGCACCATGTGGTCACAGGTGAGCACACACAGAGATGGGCATGGAGAACAAGAAGGAAAGAAAGAGACCTGAGTTGGATGATGTGGCACAGCACACCCTCAGCATATCTGCTGATTACAAAGAACTGGCAGGAGTGGTTGATAAGCCTAAGGGCTCCTCAGCAGGATGCAGAAATTGCCTGAAAAGAACCTCATGAAGTTCAACAAGGAGAAGTGTAAAGTCTTGCATCTGGGGAAAAAAAGTCCCAGGCACTAGTATATGCTGGGGACCACCCAATTGCAAAGTATCTCTCCAATGAGGAAAGGCTGAAGAGCTGGGACCACTCAGATTGAAGGCAGCTCAGGGGGGACCCTAGCAGTCTGTATCAGCACCTGAAGGGAGGGTGCACAAAGGACAAAGCCAGGGTCTTCTCAACGGTGCCAAATGACAGGACCAGAGATAATGAGCACCAACAGAAACACAGGAGGTTCTCTCCAAATATCAAGAAACACTTTTTCACCGCCAGGGTGGCAGAACACTGACAGTAGTTTCCCAGATGGGTTGTGGAGTCTCCTTCCTTGGAGATATTCAAAAGTCACCTGGACATAGTCCTGGGCAACTAGGTGTAGGTGGCTCTGATTGGGCAGAGGGCTTGGACCAGATGACCTCCAACGGTCCCTTCCAACCTCAGCCCTTCTGTGATTCTGCGACTTGTGCCACTCACGTACCACAGTAAAGGGTCTTAGACACTTTCTAGAGCATGGGAAAAGAATGTTTCAGGAAAGAAAAAAGGCTGTTAGATGGATATAATGATTCACTTTAGTTTTAGGTTAAAAATATTCATAGTGGTGTGAGAAAACAATGCCGCTAAGTCTTCCTTCTCCCCTGATTTGTAAGGAGATACAGTTCAGGCTGGAAAGATAGCAAAAAGAAAACTTCAAAAGGAAATTAAGCTGATGCATCAAAGATGTACGGAACCACATATATTTTCTAAAGCTTCAAAAATATTATATTTATTAAAATAGCGTTTTTAAAGCTGAGGTTGTGTGACTCAGTTTTAAAGAAAAGTTGAATAGACATGCCTCTTTTTATGCTAAGGAACTTCAGACATCGTTGAAGAAAGCAATAAAGTAACTTTAGCAAATTCCCAATGGACCCTTCCCTACAATACCAACTCAGTGCAATTTCCCACTAATAGTGCACTCTGCCTTTCTACATCACTCCTGACTCTGAACTTCCCTAATTTACACAATCTGCATTTTCTCCATCAAATGTTTCTATGAGCATTCTTGTCAGCATTAGCATCTATCAACTTCAAATCCATAAGTGTGACAGCCTACACTGCAGATTTGTTCTCCTTTCGGTTATCTTCAGCTGTGGGGGCAGCTTCACCAGAGCAATTCCTTGAGACTGACAGAATGAAGCAATAATAACTGCACCAGATTAAGTTACCTAAGCCTCAAGTAGAAAGAACTCGACTATTGAAAACACCATCTTTACCTGTCACCTCAGTTTCTCCAGCTGTCCTGCAAGGTTATCACTGAAGAATGTAAACTAGGAAAAATCCCCAGTACAACTCAAAAGGTCCAAATATTTGTTAAAAAACATCCCAACAGATAATATTGATGTCATTCACCTGTCCTGAGAAACTTACAGGCAATATGGTCCACAAAGCATACAGGTGTACCTACCTTTCTCCGCCACTCCTTTGGGATGCCTGTCGGCAGTCTGGCCACTGCTTTGAGCGCATCATGCCACTAAAACCAAAAGCATCCAAAAATGTAGAAAATCCATCATTAGTTTAATGCAGCAGTATATCAACATTTACAGCCTTGTAGACATGCACATTCATTTCATCTTACTGCATACATTTCAGAGTTTAACTGCTTAATCCACTCATAGGGAAAATATAGATTTATTACTTAATGATGCAATGGAAGTATTATATTCTTGGACACAAAGACTCATGAGATAGCTGAGTAAACAATGAAAGCCTATTGCATTTTCTGAATATGAATGGAACAGCTTTTGATGCAATTGCAAATAATATGCTGACATGATGATGACAGGTGTGCTTCTGAACTAGGGCAAGCACCTTGACTGCAGAGAACCCAGTCCTTCACAAACTCAAAAGGAAAATTAATCAAATTACCTGCTGAAAACCATTTTGACCTAAAGATGGTTCAAGAGTGAATTTCAATTTTGTATCAACCCCTAGAAACAAAGAGAAAAAGGTCATTATTTTCATTTAGCTCAAAAGGAGAAGAAACCCAACACACACAAAACCCCCACAGTTAAAACGAGAACACAAAATTTTGCTTCGGCAACTACATTTCAACCTGTTTCTGTGAATTTTTGTCTTCACAGTGGATTCAAGGCACATATTAAGAAGTACATGAACAAAGTCTTTAAAATGTAGTAATATCCTCTTCAATGATGTAGTTTGGCACAACTCACTTCACTAAAACTTGTGTAGTCCACTATTCTACAAACTATATGAGTACCCTCCAAACTGTCATATGCATCCACAGAAAAATACATGTATAGAGACAGTTTTGTTTCATCTATGTCACCGTCTTGACATTAAGACACTCACAACTAATTTCGAAGTTTGGGATGCTAAAATTATTGTTCAGAATGTAATTTTTTTTTAATAATTCTTCAGAACGTAAAGCACATTTTGTCAGTATTCTCATTTAGGCTTAATTTTACTTTGTCATGTGAATAAATAATTTTAATTGTTATAAAGTGGGCCTGCTAATAGTTTATAAAATATTACATAAAATACCAGGATCTCAAGTGGATCCCAACATGGCACCAGAGTATGCCATAACATAAAGAATAATAACACGTTTAATTTGCTTTCTATCCCACAGTCTGAATGTACAATTCTTTGGTCCTTCAAATGCCGCTGTCCAGAGCTCAGGTGCTGAACAGTGTTACATTGCATCCCCTCCCTCCAGTCTGCTGGCACAAACAATAAAGCCTTCCTTTATTTCCCCTCCATAATTGAATAAAATTGATTGCTCCATATCTAAAAACATAGTACGCATAGCCCCTCATCTTTGCAGAATATGAAGCCAAACATTTTTAATATATAAATATCCATACATATGTATTTATACACACATATAGACACACAACAGACAATCCTGCAAGGTTTTAAGTATATAAAATCCACACTAACCAACTCACCAGTAATACTCAGTGCTTTAGAGGACTAAGCCTGCAAGTCTGACAGAAATGCAAACTGTAGTGGCATTTGCTAATTATGGAATGTAAAATGTCTTTCAGTATTAGCATACTGAAATGATGTTAAGTAATTTTAAAGCCTTGTTGGCTGATAAATATATATTTGAAGACAAAGATGCCTTCTTTAAGGTTTTTTTTTCTTTGTTGGGGGAGAGTAAAGAGAAACAAAGAAAAAAATCACGTAAACCCTGATATTGTTTAGCATTTCAGTGTTTTAGAATTGCATCGCTGAGACCTGGGGATTGGTGCTCTCATTTCTCTGCTTCAGATTTAAAAGACATGCTTGTTAGATCTAAAAAAATAAAGGCTTATAACCATAATAGATATGTCTTGAAAAACATTAAAGGATTAACAGCTAATCCTGGAAGTAACTGTTTATTAGTATTCCTTCCCATAACACTATGGTACTCAGCAGGGACTCCTAATAGATAAATCTGTTCCTAGTAATTTAAAGCAATGCAACAATGCCAGTAACCCACTAAAAGTAAATTGTATCGCATTTGCTGAAATTGGAAAAAGTGAGTCTCATTCCCAAGCAAAAAGAGTATAAGTACTGCAAAAAAACCTAATACATAAAAAAAGATACCATGGCAGAGAACTCCTTTTGTTAAGGAAACAGATGCTTATGTTATCTAACACTACCTTGTAGCAAAGAACCAAGACCCTTCCAAAATAGCCATGTATTCGTTTCCAACTCAGTAGCCAAATATTAATCACTTCACCATTTTCTAAGACTTAGAGATCCCAGTTAACAACTTCTCTCTTTGTCTTATAAGCTTCCTAAGAAAGATGTAAGTAAATACCACTTCAAAAGATCAAGCACAGTATAAGACAAAACCTCAGAGTAAGGCAAAATCTATCTATAATTATGTGGATATCGTGAACAAGGAGCTCACACCAGGGCCCAGGTAGCTGTCTCTCTTGATTAAATGAGACTGAAATGAGATCCTTGAACCTCCATCTACAGAAGTTTATTAAACCATGGCAGACAATTAAGACAGGTGTCAAAATTACTGTAAATGAGAATAACATCACATGGTAACACCAGACTACACAGCACACTGTCTTCCGTATGGCAAGGAACATCTCAGTCGGGCCATGCACTGTGACCTCTTGTAGAAGCCATGGAATCTGTCCCCCCTTATTTGTTCCCTGTTAGAAATATTCTCAAAATCAAATTATATGACAGTGTTGTGACAGGGGAGGGGAAGAGCCATGGGGAGTGAGCTGTAGCCCATATAGAAACAGTTCCTCATTTTCACCCATTTTAAAAGAACTTAAATTTCCTGAAACCAAAAAATTACAACCTTGTCCATTGAAAAAAAATACAGTGAGTAAGCAAGTAAAAAAAAGCTGCAACACAAACAGTACAGAAAGCAAGGCAAGGCTATGCCCACCCAGGGCATCTGCAGGATGGCAACCAGCAAACTGCAAGCAGCATCTCATTATCTGACACTTACTTCTGGTAAAGAACCACCTTGCTACATGCAGTTTCTGCACTCTTCTCAAGACATTTGTCCTTGGACTTTGGAGCTTCAAGGAAATGAGAGCCTATCCCTATTCCAACCTTTCTAGGTGTCCTAAACCTCCTTTCTCCATCATTCCCCTTTTCCTGACAAATCTCCCACCCCTGCACATACTGCTATTTTTTTTTTGCACTGTTCTGTCATTTTCATCCTGTCTACTTTTGCCTGGATCATCGCCAGTCTGTCCCCAGGGGCTTCTTCCATATATAGTCTTCCATCATCTGCTACATCTTACCAGCAACTCCCTTTCATTCTGCATTCAGCTGCCTTCTCTCCACGAACTAACTTAGATTCCCCAATATCTTCCTTCCCCCTCAGTACCCCACATACCTCAGCTCAGGTCTGCACCCATTTTCATTGGATTTTCCCCTTCCTGACAATCCTCCATCTCCGGGTCACATTCCTCTCTACCATGTAAACCTATGCTTTTTTGCAAAAAAGACCCTTTGGGGCCTTAGGAAAACTTTTCTTCCCAGCTCCTTTACGTGGACAGCCTGGCAGAAATGTACCACATACACAGCAATAGTTCCTACTCTAAGTGCTGTCAGTTAAACTCTGCCCTTTTACATCAAACCAGCCAGGCTACATCACCTTCAGTTCATGCACTTTCAACTGACTCTTCATACCTAAGATGCATATTAATTCATGTAAGCAGGAATATGCTGGGAACACATTTGAATTATTAGTTCCACAAATACAAGCACACATAAAGGTACATTTGGCACCAAATTTCTGAAGGGTAGGGGTATGTCAAAATAAGGCCTGCACAGTGCTCTTGCAAGCAGGTCACCAGAAACCACTGCAGAAAAGTTACGTAAAAAATAAAAGGAAAAAAACCCAAGAAAAATATTTTAAAAACCCCATAAAACCCAGTTCTATTAGCTTTTCCATGTAAAATATACAGTGACTCCTAACAAGAAAAGGCTTAAGAGGAAAGATTATTCTCCTAGGATTCCCAAATCCTAGCTGTCTTCCACTGCATGACCAAAATGTAGCACAGAACCACAGAGCCACAAGAGGGGAGAAAAGCACCTGGGTGAAGGAATCAAATTCCCAGTTCTCCCTCAGCAACATTAAACAAAAGGATGAGGTAAACTCTGGGATTTTTTGGGAAATTTTAAACCAGAAGAAGTGTAGGAAGATGATCTGTTCTGATGCACGTATGTGATCTATAAAGCCATCGCTTTAAAATAAATTTACAAAGTACACTACTATAGGTTCTTGGCTGTACTTCACAGTTGCTGAAAACTCTCCCACAGAAAGCCTATAAATATTTTATCAAAAATAAATGAGGGAAAAGGCCTAAAGCAGCTTTGTGTGCAGCAGGAGCCCATATATGGTGAGAGAGAAGTGGCCATATAAACTACCACTATATTATTGCTTATGTTATTTCAGGAAGATTCTTAGCCTTGCAATTTATCTCTAAATATAGGTTTTCATCTGCAAAAAGAGAAACAAAAGTAACATTCTGAGTAAATCTGCATGAAATCACTTCTATCAGGAGCCAGAGCTCACTGGAACGTATCAAAACACATCTAAAATCTCCAGTCTACAGAAACTTCTCAATACAGACACTGAGTAAAATTTGAAAGAAACTTCATCCATTATATTTTTTAAGGGTTCGTTAGGTGCCCCATCTCCATCACTCTATGCAAGCATGCATCCTCAATGTTATTGTCTTTACTTGCATATGAACAATATGGAAACCCCAACCAGTGGGATTTTTAAGACTATGGCATTCCTGGTTATGCCTCTGATCACATCCCCTGGTCTTTGTGTGAGTGTAAATAAAAGAATGTCATTATCCAGATAACCTGGGATACTAGCAGACTACTGTTGGAGCAGGGGACTGTGAGAATTACAAGTCAGGAAATCTTGAAAACAGCAACACCATAAACCTGTACCAGAATGTATCTGAGAGCTTATTAATAAAAGCCTCTGAAACTCATCTCAGACATGTAAGTAGTCAGCTTTGTGTGCTTGATGCACACACATGAAGCACAATGGAAACTGATCCTTATGCATTTCCATGTATTGCTCTATGTTTCAGTGGATCTCTGGCTTGCATGCTTTGTAAATGCCTATGATTAGGCAACATATCAACAACATTTTAGCTACAAGTGACAGTTCTAGCTTAAATTTCCAGTATTGAATTTAAATTGAATTTAAATTTCCAGTATTTTATAAAAAATAAAATCCAAAATTTTGCTGGCAGGCAACTAGAATCTAGCATTCGGTAATGATCACCCATCAATGCTTCTGTTGAGAGCCCACCTCCCTGGAGCAAACATACTTTGTTGGTTGACCACCTGGTTCTTAAAAGATTTTAGTGCTGAAGCAAGTTCCAGAAAAATAGCCGCAAAGCTGATGCCTTCCCCTTGGGAAAGGCATGGTTGCGAATTTAGACAATACCCTACAGCAGACAAAGGCTGGGCG